TCTCTCTCTCTCTCTCTCTCTCTCTCTCTCTCTCTCTCTCTAAGTTTTGGTTCTTCATTTTCAAACAACAATCTTCATTCCTTTTTGGAGAAATTGAACCCATCGACATATTTAAAACACCAAACTACTTGAATTCTTCGTGTGATGAGACTACTGAGGTTAAAGAACACATCACTCCATCTAAAAGAGTCAATCGACCTTCATTTCTTCCACCAAATACACCCGATTCATTTGGGTTTTTTTTGTAGGTTTGAAAACCCATTACATGGATGAACACATACACTGCATGTTTCGATTTATATGAATGAACATGTATACACACATAAAGGGTTTTCAAGGATAAACACAAACACATAAACACATCAATTTCAAATTTGATGGAGAGGAGCAGATGGGTTTACCGAGATGAACATAGACACAGATCGGTTTTCATAGACGATGGCTTGAATGTTTTTCAGAAATCATTTTAGAGACGAGGTGCTCCAATGAATTCGATGCAAACGGATCGAATCGATGGCTCTTCAATCGCCATCACCAGTGTGTTCTTCGTTCAAACCCAGATTGGATATATAGGAGACCCCTCCCTCATGCATGTTTTCTCCACCCATCTCCTTGATCAATATGCAGTGCAGCAAGAACAACGCTCTTTTTTTTCGTATAGCTTTACCTGCTTCCCTCCTTTTGATTCATCGGAGTTGACCCAATTTTGCATCGATTGCAAAAAAATGAGGTGAGGAACAGACCTGTTTTTTTTCTCTTTGTGTACACTTTGACGGAAAGAAGAAGAAGAAGACCCAATGTTGTTAATCAACTGAGAGCTACGCCTGGTTCTTGATTTTATGGGTTTAGAAGCATATATGATTTGTTGATTGGATTTATACAAAAGTTGTACTATATGTATTAAAGATGTAGAGGTGAAGAAGAAAAGCATGAATCTGGGATATATATATATATATAGAGTGTGTGTGTGTGTGTGTGTGTCGATCTTCGTTTGGTTTTTAATTAATAAAAGATAAAAATATCTACCCTAATAAATAAAGATCTTTTTGACACATGTCACATTCTCATTCATTTTGCCACATGTAATTTTGTGGTTGTTTTAAATTAGTTTTTATTCCACATGTCATTTATGGTTTTTCCATTTTTTTTAAATTCCACATATTATTTAAATATACTAATAAATGCATATCAATTTCATTAATGAACTTTCCTTTTCACTTCAAAATTACTAAATTAAAGCTTCTTTAATTTACTTTATTTATTTATCCACATTATTTGTTTAAATTTAAAATAGAAAAAAAAACACTTTAACTTTTATAATTCAATATTCTTCTCACTTTTCTTATAAATTCAAACTTTTCAAATGTTTAGAATTTTATATATATATATATATATATATATATATATATATATATATATATATATATATTTTAAATAAACCCATGTAATACATGGGTCACACACCTAATATTAAAATATAACATACATTTTTTGTAGTGGTTATTTTAAATTTAAAATAGAAAAAAAAACACTTTAACTTTTATAATTCAATATTTTTCTCACTTTTCTTATAAATTTAAACTTCTCAAATGTTTAGAATTTTATATATATATATTTTTTTAAATAAACCCATGTAATACATGGGTCACACACCTAGTATCCTAATAAATAAAGATCTTTTTGCCACATGTCATATTCTTATTCATTTTGCCACATATAATTTTATGGTTATTTTGAATTAATTTTTATTCCACATGTCATTTTATGGTATTTTGTATTTTATTAAATTCCACATATTATTTAAATCTAATAATAAATGCATATCAATTTCATTAAAGGACTTTCCTTCTAATTTCAAAATTACTAAATTAAAGTTTTATTAATTTCCTTTATTTATTTATCTAAATTATTTGCCTAATTTGAAAAGAGAAAAAAAACATTTTAATTTTTATAATTCAGTATTTTTTTTATTTTTTTTATAAATTCAAACTTCTCAAATATTTTGAATTTTATATTTAAATTTTCTTTTAAATGAACTCATGGTCCCACACCTAGTAAGTATTAAAAAAATATAAAAAAGAAAGTAAAAGCGTATAACCGTCTTTTCAAGTTTTTTCTTTTTGGACAAAAAACACATAAAAACTTTGATTTTGGACATTCTATGCAAATAAAAACCTTTTTTGACCTTATCCAAAGTTTATTGAATACCACAGGAACCAATTTTGCAGTTTTGTCTTATTAATTTTTTTTTTATATTTCCTATTTTTACAGATCTTATTTTTTTACTATGTTTTATGCGTTTTTTTTCATAAATTAGGAATTTGGTTCAAACTATTTTTATAAATTTTCTATAACTCTTTTTCCCGAAAAATACATATTTATAATTTGTTTTTCATCTTTTAAACACTTTGTTTTCAGAGTTGGTCTTTACAAGATTATTTTATTCATTAACATTATTTTATATCTTTGTTTTATGCATGTTATATAAGGTTTGTCTTTTTATACGTTATTTTTATGTAATGTTGGTTTCAAGGTCAAATGATGATGAAAAAAATCGCAAATGTTATCATATTTTATGTAATCACCTTATGGTATTTAGTTTCATAATTACAACACAAATGTACAATCTTTGTCTACATGTTTTGTGTAATAAAAGGTAATACTAAAATTCCTGCCGCATCGCGTATATACCATCTACTTCCGAACATAAAACCATTTTTTTGTTAAGGCAACTAAGTAATCAAAACATTTTTGTATTACTTTTTTCCGAAAATCTATTGAAAATCCTTATGTTTAGAACTTACTAAGGATTAAGTCCTTATTTTTTTAGTCATTTAAGTCTCAAAACCACAATTGTTTGCATTTTGACCCTTCTATGTAACATCCCAAAAATTTCACCAAAATTTAAACGTTTCAAAACAATTCATTACTAATCAAAGTGTTTACGAAACCATTGTTTCAAAAACATTATTTAAAAAATCAGAGTCTCCCAAGATCCAATCAGTTGTAAAACCAAGGAGTGTACGGTCACGACTTCGCCTTATCACAGTCCTTTGAAGTACCTGAAACCATAAACCAAAAACTGTAAGCACGAAGCTTAGTGAGTTTCCACAAAGTACTACCACACAAACAGATAACATATACTAATAACAACATGTATGGGGTCCACAACTAAAAGACTGGATTACACATGAGCCCACAATATGAGTCTGGCTTGCCTACCAGGCCCGCAACTCATATCTGGCTTGCTCCTGAGCCCACATCATAAGTCTGGCTTGCCTTCGGGGCCCACATCTTATGTTTGGCTTGCCTCCTGGCCCAATCAGTCGTAAGTCTGGAATACCAATATACAATGGGTCCACTCAGTCATCAGACTGGAATACCCATAAGCCATCAGTACGAGTTTGGCATACCAACCGATCCTCAGCTCGTATCTGGAATGCACCTGAGCCCTTAGTATGATCCTGGCTTGCCCTACTCGGCCCTCAACTCATATCTGGAATGCTCCAGGGTTTGTTGGCTACAACACAAAACAGTACAATCTCAACCCAACACAAATTGTCGACATATAACAGATAACAAATATATTCCACAGAAAGATACTTATATAGACCGAAATCACAGGTAGTCCTAAAGATCTACCAGACAAAGCATATCAGCAACTAGCATATAATCATACAGATCTATTCCATACGCAACATATCAATGTATAGCAGGATATCAATCCAATGAGCCGACCTTGGTGGCTTCGACCCGTAAGTACAGTAAGGAAAACTCACCTCTCGATCTGATCAATAGCTGATAAGGTCCCGACTCCGAGTCTCAGCTCTAACCGACACCTATCCACCTAAAAGACCAATTCTCAAACACCATCGAAAATACCCTAGGTCATACTTGGTCAAAGTCAAAGTCAAATTGATCAAAATCCATAAGTCAATTGAGTCAACTCAGCCAAGTCGACACATAGTGCATACGCAGGGCTTACGCTAAACGTACGCAGGGCATACACGAGCATTGACCACCATTGGGATGTTGACCATGTACACGCTGCGTACTCAGATTATGCAAGGTGTACGCCCAGACTTCCCAAACTCCATTAAGAGCTTAATGCCTTAAGCTCTTACGTGTCATTCCAGATCCAAGGCTAAATCATCCTCAAGAGTCATAAAGTATCCATCTTTATGACTTTGCATGTCCATTAAGTTCTTAACTCAACATCTTAATACATTAAGACCTTCTAAAGAATGCATGGATCAAAACCAACCATTAAGACCCCATTTTTATGACTCAAGACCCTTCCTAAGGTCTGAAAGGACGACTTAATTGGTCAAGAACATGCCATGCTCAAGAATCACCATTTGGGGACAAAAAGTGGCTTAAAAGAGTGAAATATCTAGATCTACAAGATGGAGTGGTAAAGTTTCAAGCTTATACCACCTGGAGGTTGCAAGCAAGGTAGAAATCCCATATCCAAAGTGCTT